TAACAAAAAAAGCATTAGGCAGTATTTGATAAAGCCAATGTTTGCATGTTCATGCCTGGCAACCATACTTCCTGATTAGACCTGTCAAGAATACATATGTGCATATACCAAAAGACACAGAGAAGAATATTTATGCATCTCAAAACTGGCCATAGTCCAAATGCCCATTGTAGTAGAATAAATCAATTCTTCATGTATTCATATAATGATCTTCTAAACATCTGTGAGAAAGACTAACACTGCAGCTCACAGAACACACAACTTTGCACTTACTATTGTTTGAAAGCAAGGACTACATCCCATAGAGCTGCATTGATGCAGAACTCAATGGCTTTTACAGGGGTGGGATGTAACGACTGAGGGACTTGTAGGGACTCATGGCTTCACATAGGTAGTTGACATTTAGAACCTCAACTTGGCACAGATAATGAGGGGTTTAATTACAATTTTTCTTAGGTCTGTAGTTTAACATTCAAAATCTCTTTAAAAAAGGTAGCCATTTAGCATGGCAGTGTAATGAGAAAAGGGAGCATCTAAAAATCATCTCACTCCTTAGCAACAACAGGTGCATTAACAGCCAAAGACACCTTTGTAGATGCACAAATGAACTCTCCAGAAAGGGCAGGATCCCAGGGCACACACTGAGTAACATCCTGATTTTCCTACCCTGGCAAGTTTCAAAACCTTGAATTAACATGTGGTTTACAGATCTCTTATTATAAAGGATAGAAGCCTTGGAGGGCTACATCCTATATGTAAGGTTGCCTAAAATGAAAAAGAAGTCTCACTCTTATTTTAAGTAAATCAGAAAAAGGGTGCCCCAGGGATTGGCCTGCCATAAGAAATGATAGAATAAAGAAGGCTTTCCTACAAGAATAGCACCATGGGCTTCTCTTCAGTTAGACTAGGATCTCACTTCTATTTCCTGCTGTACCAGTGTCCCCACCAGACCAGCATCCAGAAAGAGCCACCCAGGGTCATCTCCACTGATTCACTTTCACAAGAATACAGTGATCAGCTGAGAAGCTGGAAGCAGAATTTCTTATCTTGGCATTTTCTTTTGCTGTTCTATCACATTCTGTCTTAAAGGGAGGCAGCAATACTTCCTCATGAAGGGTTAAAACATTCCATGTTAGTTCTTTTGAACTAACATTTAACCCACAGACTCTTAATAAACATTTATACAGTCCTCTCTCAACAAAGAGACATCATGGGCAAAGTGACACCATGTGAATCTCAGCTCCTATTTTCATCTGTTCCTTTAATTGGCCTCTCCTATAATATGATCCCAATATCCTTTTTGGTTACAAAAAGCAAGAAAAAGTGACCAGGTATGAAAGGAATGTGATGAAATTACAGGTGTGGCAATACATTTGGCAACAGGAGTCAGTTATGGAGGGCATCTTAGATTCTCCTTTCTGGTGCAGAAATCACCAGGAGTTTGTCAGAGGCAAAATGATGTGATGGAGGAGGCAATCCTTACTCTCTCATTCTGGAAGGAAGCTACCGTGAACCTGCAGCAGCTCAGTGTGCAGCTAGCTGATCTGCCATTGCTCTGGGAAGAATCTAGTCAGCGCTGGGCTACTTTGAGGCACACTGGACCAGTGTGGAGTCACAGCCAAGCATGCCAACTCCACCTATCTCAAATAGATGCTACTGACATGCTAGATCCACCACTCCACAAGACTCCAGCTTCTGAAACTTTGAGATTATGTCATCCCCCAAAAAACTGGGTTGGTCACCTTCATCAAGTAATTTTCACACCTTGTGATGACTAAAACCTAGTTAGGTGCATCAAAAAAGAAGCACACAATGGCCCAGAGATGCCATAGGAAGTACTGTGCCTTTCCCAGCAGCTTCTTAGCAGCCCTCAGTGAGCAGAAAACATAAATGCAGGAAGACTGAGTGAACTGCATTTCACTAACATGGTTATTTGTTTTAGTGAGAGAAATCCATGTAACCTAGACTTATAAACAGAAGAGTCCTGTACTGTCACCTCTTCTCAGACTCAGCATTCCCACCCCTCACCCAAGGATCAAAGGTACTCAAAATAGTGAGCTCTGCAGTATCTTCTGGTGTCTATAATTAGTCTTTGATAGTACTCTTAGGTCAGGTCTCTCCTGTCTGTAGGGCACATACGCAAAGTTCAGTGTCCAACCACTGCCCTGAGTGACTTCTGGAAGAGTTGTTTTTTTAAATATTCTCAGGTCATTCCCTAGTTGGAGAGTCCCACAGCCTTTCAGCTTGAAGAGCCACTGCCCCTCAGCCCCTGGATGGTCTTCTTCTCCTCAGCTCCCACACACTTAAGGGTCAGTCTCCCTGGGCACTTAACTTTCACCTGCTGTTTCCAACACCTGATACGGTCAGATCTTATCTCCCAGGGTAAACTGTCTGCTAATAGAAAGAAGAAACTAGATTCCTATCCTCCACTGCATAATTGTCCCAGGGGCCTGGCCTGGCTGCTTTATGCCATCCACTCAGAGCACAACTGCATTTGTCCCTATAAAGTTAAGAACAGGAAGATAAAAGAGGAGCGGAAAGTGGGGGAAGGATTACTTTTGTAAAGACCTTGTGTAAAGACCTCTCTGCTCCTTTCACTTACCTGTACCTTGAAAGGGGAGATTCTGATGGAAAAGAAAGCACCAAGATAGGGCTTTCTCTCCTTCTTGGAAAGGTATTCCGGCAGAGTGCTCCTGGTCACCTGTGTTCTGTCCTCTGTGACAGGGAGAGATTTGTCTGCCAAAGGCTGTGAATACTAGTTCACATTGCTTTCTTTCCCCTATATGCTCTGCCGAGGTATCTAAGAGCTAAGCCAAGCCTAAGTCAAGCCTATACTGCTAAAGGCTGAACATAGCCTCCAAAATTCCTATGTTGTAACTGAATCAGTCATCAGCCTTATGAGGTGGAACCTTGGAGAGCAAAGTCAGAAAGGTAAAGTCATCTTCATGGGTGGGGTAGGGACACCTTCCAGGCCTGTACGAGGTGAGTCTGCTCCATTCCACCTGGCCTTACACTGTGAATTCATAACACTGTTCTCCCTGGGAGGCTGCAATGGGAAGGTGCCACACTGGAAGCTGGGTATCACACTGTTTCGTGACACTGGATTTTCTGGAGCCTTGCTGTTAGACTTCATGGCCTTCAGAGCAGTAGGAAATGAATATCTGGGTTGGTTTTTCTCAAATTCCTGGGATTCATATATCATGTTCTAACAAATGGCAACAACGTTAGAAGCCAGCTGACCAGATCTGTTCTAGTAGCAGCCAGCCCCAAAGCAAATCTTTCTGGATTTGTCCAGAGTCACTGTTGACAACTGCCAATTTTTGATGCAAATTGGAGCCACTCAGGGACCTTTTAAAAAAATCACTGTCCTTAGATCCACCCATGCCAGCAAAACAACAACATGTGGGACCCCCAGCTGGGTACCAGTGCTTCCAAGCATTTACTGGCTGGTTGCAGTGACAAGTAGCAGTTCAGCAGGCCCTTTACAACAGATCCAAACCTTCAGCCTGCAGTGCAAATGTCAGAACATGAAAACCCTGCCTCATTTTGAATGAAACAATGCCTGTAGAAGGATATGGGCAGGATGTAGGTTACCAAGGAGACTAGATAGCTACCTTATGATTAAGTTGGGCTTTACCATCAACATCTTTTTCTTTCTCCCGTGATCTTTTAAGGTCTCCTGACATCACTACCTAAAACTCAACAAGATTCTAGACATGAGATGTTTCCCTCCTAGGAAGTGAAGGAGCCTCCAACAGCTCTCATCCTTGACTGTTCAGCAGAATCACCAAGCATATTTAGAAACACAAGGCCCTAAACTCTGAGGCTGGTTCACTTTGTGCAGCGCTGTGGTTCTTGATGTGGCTGTGCCTGCTCACATGGGCACTCCTTGCTAAGGCAAGTTCTTGGGCTCACTTCAGGCCTGATTGATCTGATACACAGGTGGGTCAGGGGACAGGGGAGCAGTGCATGCCTGTGCTGTGATAAACTACATTGTGGGCAGTGATCATGCTGTAGGTTGAGAGCCACTGGCACAGGCTGAGCACAGATATTCAGTGAGTTCTCTTATGTACTTCCAGAAAGCCCCAGAAGAGAGTCCAAGGATAAAAAGTTTGAACTTTCTTCTCTGTCTAGGAGTGCCATCCTAGATTTCCCAATACCAGTCTACCATGACAAGCAAAGGGCATCCTCTGGGCTGGGCACAGGAAGTCTTGTATTATGTTGAAAAATAATGCATTTATTGTGTCCATCATTCTAACGTACCTGAATTAAATCAACAGTGAAAAGCAAGCACTGCTAAGACAACTACCAATGGAGTGCCCCATAGTGCCCACACCAGCCACCCCCCAATCAGCTAGTCAACTTCCTTCCAAAATGAAACAGCCAATTAACCAGGGCCTCACAGCCAGATAGAAACATCATTGTCTCTTGCTAGGAAAAGCGATATAAATAGGATGTGTCTTCTTTTTCAAATGAGCATTTTGGTCAAAATTTCAAGCTTCAATTGCAGTCCCTCTCATCCCTGAAAAAGAACTTAGCAGTTTAAAAGGCTGGAGGTTTTTACTGATGCTTCAATGACATTTAGAAAGCCAGCTTTCACAGTCTCAAAATGTAAGACTGTGGCATGACAGGCAATAAATGACATCTGTACATGAGCATCCATTCATCCTACACATAAAAGAAGTTACTATGGATGGAGGTTTCAAAGGCTGGCAAACAGGCTGCCTATTCTCTGCTGTTCCACACTTGGCTGGCCCCAGGGTGGAGAAGTCTCAGTTACCTCCTCTTGAGCTCCAAAGATAGCTCTTCATGAGACAGGGAGCAGTCATATGGGTCCCTTTATATCTGACAGTCTTTCAGAATGAGTTATGCATATGCCTAAAAGTTCTGCCAATAGCCTTAGATAAGAAGAGCTGTTGGGACTGCAAGCATGTACTGGGTTTCAGGGCTGCTCACTCTCAGACAGCTCTGGGGACCCAATCTGTCTACAGAGACTTTACCTCGAGGACAGTAGATGTCAGGAGCCCATCGGTTGCATTCGTAATTGTCTGCTGCCTTTTCACAGGTAAAACATTTAAATCCACCAGGATATGGGGTGGCTGGAAAAAAAAAAGAAAGAAAAGAAAAAGAAAAAGTGATATCAGACTGAGCAAAGAATCCTGCAAAAGAAGTATATTAATTTTAAAATAGTTCTCAAGGTATCTTAGAGGTGAAAGGAAAATTAAAGTGAAGTATCTGATGACTCAGCATTTTACAGCAGGAAATTTAATCCTGAGACATGAACACTTGTATTCAAGTGCAAAAATCTGCATACAGATATCCAGTTGGTTTCATTTGAACAGGCTGCCCACTCCTAATCCGAAAATATGAAATTTAAAATGCTCCCAAATTTGATACTTTTAAGCCCTAACATTATATTGCCCAAAGCCTACCTCTGACCTCATGTGACCAGTCATAGTATTGAAAGAATGGTATAAAATTCATCCAGGCTATTTACAAAGCATGAAACTAACAAATGTGACCTTTAGACTTCAGGCTCATCCCAAGATATTTCACTATATACATACAGATATTCCAAAATCCAAAAGCCCATCTACACCTGAAATGCCTCTAGTCCCATGCACTTTAACCTGCAATGACTCCAAGTTGTAAGGAACTCAAATGTCTATCAATAAGTGAATGGGTTAAACAAACTATGGGACATCTACACTATGGAATACTATGCACCAATAAAAAGGAACAGATTGTTAACAACTTTAATGAATTCCCTTGAGATTCCTCTTGGTGGAAAAAAAAGTCAGTCATAAAGGCTACATGCTATATGGTTATATTTATATTACTACCATATTATTTGTTTATGTATTTATGTATGCATTTATATATTATGTTTACAGATTGTGTGTGTGTGCACACATATGTGTGGGCACATAGAAGCGTGCCTAGGTGCCCCAGTATTCATAAGGAGACAGAGGACAATTTGCAGAATTTGGTGTTCTCCTCCCACCAAAATGGCTTTCTGAGGATCAGACACATGTGGTAAGGCTTGGTGGCAGATCCACTTTGTCCACCCACAGGCTACTTGGGTTCACTTATAAGCCACTTCTGACATGACAGAATTGGGAACAGACTGAGTGGTTACCAGGTGTTATAGGTGCCAGTGTACCGGTACTGTTTGGAGAGAAGGCATGGTTTGCACTATGCCAGCAACACTCTCTGTTCTCTCCCATCCTCTCTCCATGGCTGGGTTGTGCTTCCCACCTTCTGAAGAGATTGTCCTCCATGTACCACTTGTTCTCTGTCCTGCTTGTAAGCTGAGGTCGGGGTGTCACCTGAGAACCAAGCTCTGGTGGTACTCACTGTCCCAGGTATTCTGTCAGCACAAGGCAGAGAGAGGGTCAACAAGCAATGCCAGCCCCTCCCTCTTCAGCAGAGAGAGGGGGCCTTCCAGGTCCCTGTCCTCTGGCTCTTGTGCTCTCAGCTGCCTCTTACCTGGAATCCTCCACTCTCCTTGTGACTTAGATCTCTGCCTTTTCTAAACAAATCCCAAGCATTTTTAAAATTTTTGTAATACTACCTGGCCTAGTTGAAAGCTGCAGACAAACAGTTCATCTGGTGGAGCCAACAGCTCTCTCTCGCAGATGGCTGAGCCAGAGGATCTCACTGATGGAAATAATCATCTCAGGGTAAATTGCATGGCCCACATGGAACCAATTAGGTATGTTATCAAAAATAAATGAAGGAGGAGGCAGCAGCTTAAGGCCAGAATTATGGTCCAGATACAGCTTTCATTTTTCTCCTTGCCAAGAATAGCTGCTCATTCACATACTTGCCTGAAATAGTCCAGAGAATGGATTGTGATGATGGTACCTGGACATGATTGGAAGCTGTGGACTGTCTACAAAGGATGAGTAAGTAGACCTTTCCATGGGCCCATGTCAGAGTCCCATGTTCCTCCTACTAGCTAGTAACTCAAATTTACAAACAGTTTAAAAATAAAGGTATGAGTCATCTCTTAAAATGATGGAAAACAAAACAAAACAAAAACCACTTCAGTCCCAGGAGGGAACTGCACCACAGGAAAATGTTCTCCTCTCTTGTCACAGAAGTGAAGAAAATATTCTTGTGATGCATACACAGGTAATTAGTACAGTCCCCCTTTTAGCACCAAGAAAAGTCTTTCATATTTTAATTGAATGAATCTGTGTTGGGATTAAAACAAGAGTCTCAAAGTCCAAAGCCACTCAATGTCACATGGACATTTTAATAGGTTTGTACTTTACAAATAGCATTATGAGAAAAATCATATAATCATTCTAGAAAATTATACTAGCTTGCTACATTAAAAACAGTCCCACTCTCTGCTTTAGACTATTTAAACATACAAATCACTTTAAGAGGTAAAAATTTAAAATATCTTGTAAAATTTGAAATAAAATAATGGTAGCAGAGCTTTGAAAAAGAAATAAATATAACAGTTATTCCCGAACCAGCATTTTTCAAACAATGTTCTTCATAGTCACCAAGGTTTGTGACTGCAAGCTGGCTGTACCACTTCAGACCACAGGATTAATTACCTAGAATATCCAAATCTATTCGTCTGTCACTGTAGCCAAAATAATTTTCGGCTGGCTTGTTGGATTAGTTATTCCTGGAAACTTTCCCATCAAAGAGATAAGTTAAAAAAAAAAAAAAAAAAAAAACATTGAGTAATGACCACCCAACTGCTCCAAGAATAAAGTTACTGAGAACCAAACACTAATAAGTTGTGGTGTTCCTAAACTCAGATTATTTAATCAACATTTCAAAATGCTCTTTAACGCCACTGATGACATATTAAATTAAATACTGTCACTTCTTACATAACTAAATGCCTCCTCTGAAATTAACCCAAGGACACTGGAATTTGAAGAGAAGTATGAGCTAGAACACTATGTAGTAAAATGAAGCTTTGCTTCAAACCATTTATACCCAAACGCTCTTAACAGCCTGTTACTGGCAATTGACCACGTGCTCTCCATTTTTGTCAGTCTTTTTTTTTTTTTAATTATTTATTCTATTTACAAAATTGTATTTGTATGGGTGTTTTGCCTGCACATATGGCTGTGTACTGCTTGAAAGACTAGGATCTAGGCCAGCAAAGGGCATCGCATCTCCTGGAATTGGAGTTACAGATGGTTCTGACATGCTATGTAGGTGCTAGGAACTGAACGTGGGTCCTGTGTTATGAACCACTGAGCCATCTCTCCAGCCCCTGTTTGGTCTTATTTTAAAATCTATAAATCCATGTCTGTTTGTATTCTCAAGCACTATAGTTTAATATTTATTTACAGGACTGTTTGTTGATATTTCACCCGGGGAAATCAATGAATAACACTGATTCCTGACAAACTTTTGCAAGCCTATTCGACTTATTTATATGGTACTAAGTAAATGGTTAAATTATTCCTTCTGGCAATATTTAACCTGAATGAGGTCAGCAGATGAGCAACTATCTCCAATAACTTGTTAATTGATACTACATCTGATAAAGAGTTTATTTCTCTTTTAAGAGACAGGGAAAGAGGTTCCTAAGAAGTTCTATTTTCTTCTTTATTACTTCAAAGCCTTCCAGAGCCAGCGGACTTCAGATCCTGGTGGCCCCAGCTGTGAATGAATGTAATTTGGCTCTTGATCACAGAGCTAATAAGCTTAGTACACTGCATTTCAGGGCATAAGGCCCTGGTCCCTCAAGAGAGGGTGATTGTAAAGAAAAAAGAAACACTGGAGTGCCCAGTTACTTCCTGTAAGATAATCTGCCCATTGACTCTCATGGTCAGCCATAGTTCAAGTTTCCATAATTCATTTGTAAGGCATCCGGAAAGATTTAGCCTCCCTGCCCCCCCTTGGAACTTTTGCCTGGACAAAGACCTTCAGTTACTGGAATTGTGGTGAAAGCAGACGCTTCAAAATATATGCTGATGAGCAATGTGTCTGCTCTAGTCAAATTGGTTTTCACTAGTTTTAGAAAATGGATAGAAATATATAAAATCTAATATTATGTGTCCTGGTCCACTAAATTCTTGGTGCTATAATTGTGACATGAACATATTTCTAATAGAAGACACTTCCTGTTACCTGTCTAGAAGTCCTCTTTCTCTGTAAGATGTAACAAAGCAGGACTGTGCATAAATTACCTACGTTGGGTCATAAGCAAGCCCCTGCAAGGACATAGCTCTTTGATGCAGAAGATTAAGAAGGGCTCAGAACACTCATGCAAAGGAAAATTAGATTGTTTTCCAAGAGTGTTTTCTATTCTACAGAAAGAAACAGAGGCTAAGAACAGGGCACAGTCATTTTATTAAAATCTCTTGTGTGATATTTGACCAAGTAAATAGCTCTATTTCTCTTCTTATTAACTCTTCTTCAGAAGATTGTAATTAAATTTATGATATTTAACCTGAGAATGGAGAGAAAAACCAGCACTTCTCACATTGAAAAAAAAAAAAAAAAAGACAACGAAAGGCATGTACAAATTATTGGGCAGACTGTTCTAGAGGATGAGTTTGAAATCCATAAAGTTTGTAGCTTATAATACTTGGAAACTTCAAAGATTTGGAAAGCTGAGAGCAAAGGAGATTAGCGAGGGGAGGCTGAATTTTCTCAGCCCAGTTGCCATCAATGACTGCCGTTTGGCCCTAAGAAGAGCGAATTTGTTTGGCACAGAAAATTTGTATGTTCTCAAGCTTCCTGCCCCTCCGTGTTCTTCCATGGACAGATGCTGTGCTTTGTCATATAACATTAATAGAACTGGCTCTCTCACTGACCCAGAGAAAGCTGCCTGTACATCCACCTACAAAGTGAGGCAATTGTATAAATAATTCAAAGTCAAACTCATCCCACGTGCCCTTCATGTATTTTTTATGGTAAATGCTCGACAGCAACTTTCTTGTTGGTAGAGTGATCACTCCATCTAAGCATGAGCAAGGGCTCAAGGGCAGAGAACCATAGCTGTTTAAAAATCCAAAGTGCAAACAAACACACTCACAAGTCTCTGAAGTAGTTTGGGGAAATGTGGAGTTAACTCTGATGCAACATGGGCAGAACAGTTTCAAGTTCTACCCAACAAGAATTCTCAGTGCCTGTGAGATGCGGGGAGACCTGCTGGTGAGGGTTCTAGAGCTGCGACTCACAATCTAGGTAGATACAACTTCTCCATCCGTTTTCACCCTTTAGAATCATGTCTTTCCATGATTCCTATTTAGTTAACACAGGTCACATGACTGAAACTTGCCTATTACATTACTGTATTTGATTTGAGACAAGGTATTGCTTTGTAGTCCCTACTGGCCTGGAACTTCCCTGTGCAGCTCAGGTAGCACTCAAATTCTCCCACCTCAACCTCCTGAGTGCAGGGATTACTGTTCTGTGTCACCCTATCTAGCTTCCCCAAAGAGCAGATTTCCCCTGTAGCCTGTCAAAGTTCATCTTTCGAAGACAACACTAAACAGGGGCCTCTCACTCCATCCATTCATTAGCTACCCCACACAGGAAAACGTACTGTATTTTTTCCTGGTTTCCATAAACTCACTGACTTCAATTTTCAATTCCTACCTTCTTTGTAGCTTTCAGAAGAGGCCATGGATGGACTATTTTGTAGTCTGAGTCTCTCATTAAAGCTGACAGAGAAAGCCATAGAAGCCAGCACTTTGGCACTCGCTCCCGAGGGACTGAAACACCTGGGTCTTTGACTTGCTAAGTCTGGCTGTTTGGGGCAAAGGACAAAATGCAATCTTGTCCTTAATTAAGCAGCCAGATAAATTTCCTACACAAGTAATCAGTACACAGACTCTGCCAGTGAGGACACAGGTGCAGCAGACTCTGCCAGTGAGGGCACAGGTGCAGCAGACTCTGCCAGTGAGGGCACAGGTGCAGTATGCAGACTCTGTCAGTGAGGGCACAGGTGCAGTATGCAGACTCTGCCAGTGAGAGGGCACAGGTGCAGTATGCAGACTCTGCCAGTGAGGGCACAGGTGCAGCAGACTCTGCCAGTGAGGGCACAGGTGCAGTAGACTCTGCCAGTGAGGGCACAGGTGCAGTATGCAGACTCTGCCAGTGAGGGCACAGGTGCAGTATGCAGACTCTGCCAGTGAGGGCACAGGTGCAGCAGACTCTGCCAGTGAGGGCACAGGTGCAGCAGACTCTGCCAGTGAGGGCACAGGTGCAGCAGACTCTGCCAGTGAGAGGGCACAGGTGCAGCAGACTCTGCCAGTGAGGGCACAGGTGCAGCAGACTCTGCCAGTGAGAGGGCACAGGTGCAGTATGCAGACTCTGCCAGTGAGGGCACAGGTGCAGTATGCAGACTCTGCCAGTGAGGGCACAGGTGCAGTATGCAGACTCTGCCAGTGAGGGCACAGGTGCAGCAGACTCTGCCAGTGAGGGCACAGGTGCAGCAGACTCTGCCAGTGAGGGCACAGGTGCAGCAGACTCTGCCAGTGAGAGGGCACAGGTGCAGTATGCAGACTCTGCCAGTGAGGGCACAGGTGCAGTAGACTCTGCCAGTGAGGGCACAGGTGCAGTATGCAGACTCTGCCAGTGAGGGCACAGGTGCAGTATGCAGACTCTGCCAGTGAGGGCACAGGTGCAGTATGCAGACTCTGCCAGTGAGGGCATGGGTACAATAGGCAGATTCTGTCAGTGAGGACAAGGTGCAAAATCCACAATTGGCTGACTAAAAGACAACAAAAGAAAAACTACTCCCCTGTCTATTGGGTACAGTTCTCTGCTACACAGATTTTTTTTTCTATCTATAAAGTGATACTATGGTGTGTGTACAATTTTACCAGGGTAAAAATAAACTAACAAATGTCCTCTGCATTGCCTGAGAACTCACCACAGCTCATGCTCAGTGCTAAATTCCCTATGCATTATGCTAACTAAATACTGGTCACAAAGTCAGGGATTTATTTCAAGTCAGGAGGCCCAGGAACAGCAGACATAGTTGTAGAGAGCCTGGGTGTCCCCCACACACACACCATCTCCCAAGCTACAGGAATTAAACATTCCAGGAGTGTGGGCTGAGGAAATCCCAGTAGCTGCCTCCTCTTTGCACGATGTATGATCTTCAAAAGAAAGGGCCTCATTTTAATTGCCTATGCACCTTCCACCCCATGACAGTGCTTGTCATGCAGCAGATGCTTAAAGACAACAATATACTTTGGGGCAAAAGGTGAAGTGCAGTATACACACTAATATTCAGCTCTCACCACCATCAAGGGCAGTGCCAAAGAGAAGTGGGACAAAACCAAAGGAGAACAGAGGTTCAGCAATGGGGACCAAAGGAGGGAGTAGCAATGCTGTTTTCCAAGATGTAGTCCCAGGGCATCTGTAGCAGAAGGACCCAGAATTTTTGCTGAAAATATGAAGCTCAAGGAAGAATCCTGATGTATGCAACAGAAACTGGAGGGCAGGGGTCTGGTGCCAGGGGCCTGCCCTACTGTGGACTCCCTGGAGAATTCTTAGCCCTGGGGAATCCAGAAGCCCAGGGAATAAGAAGTTGTGGGAAGCAGTTGTGTTTTAACTGAGGCAAGGTGCCAGAGAGAAAGACCAGCCATTATCCAAGCTATAAAGGTCTAATCTCTTTGCAAACAACCTGCCTCGTGGAATAGGCCAGTTCCCTTCCATATCTGGCTGGGAACCAACAGAGCAAAATGAAAGGGCATACAGAATAAGGGGGATGTGTAGGGAACAGAGAAAACAAGCCTCATCATTTAGCCCAAGATACAAAACAAACATCCTGTGGAAAGGAGGGGGTAAAAAGCAAGGCAACTTTTATTAACTTCTGCACCTAAATCACCCAGTTTCCCCTGCATTAAGGTTGCTTTCCCTGGATATGCTTCATTCTTTTCCAGCCAGAAACAATGCTATTTTTTTTTTTAGACAAGAGAACAAATAGAAAACGGTCTTACTTGAAGGGTGGAGGTAGATTATGTCTTTCACTGTGAAGTCTCTGGATTGAGCAGCTTTCAGACAATCCGCCAGCAGGCTCAGCAGCAGGAGCCAGGCCAGGGCAGGGCTAGGTTCCATGGCAGACTGGTGTGTCACTCATACAGAGGGCCCCAAAGTGGGCACTTGAGTCAATGGTAGATGACCTGTACCTGAAAGAGGAACACAGATCCATCTTAGTATCCAACAGGAGACAGAGCAGGCAGCCTGGCTGGTGTCTGTCAGATGAGCTGAGCTGGTCAGGGATGGCACTCTGGGCCCAAGGAAACAGGTGCAGGGGGTGAACCTTATAAATTGTAATTTTAGAGCACTTAGAACATTCCAGCCTAAATCTATTCTTAATCAAGCTGCTCCTACTGGTAGCAATCCTTCCTAATATCCAGCAGAGATGGTATCAAGAGAGATTGAATTTTAATTAATTCCAGCTATTTCTGCCAGAAGGCCAGAGGACATGTGCCAGAGAGAGAGAGAAAAAAAAAAATAAGGCAGGTGCAAAGCTCAGAAACTTTTCCTCAATAAAGGTGTGGATCAGGGACCAAACAGTATCATTTCTGAGTCTAGCCACCATACTGAACTGTAGGAAGTAGACTCAGGTTTGGAAAAGGAATATAGGTAAACTGACATCTTCCAAACTTAAAACCACCTCAATTCAACAAAACTCTCCCAAACAAAACCTATACTTATTGATAAATACTGTTGAAGGTGTTTGCAAAAGCAAAAGCAAAGCAAAACAAAACAAACAAAAACCAAAAACCTGGTTTATTCTAATAATCCTATGAGGTTGCCACTCCAATTACTCCATTTGGAGGGGACAGGTCAAACACTTAAGGACAGGACTGGCTTCTACCCACAGTGCAGCTTTCAACTCCGCATTTCAAACACTAAAATATGCTGTATTCTACCTAAAATTGGATGATTACGGGATTGAGTTGCTACTTCGAATTAAGCAGTCTCTACTGTCCTTTCTTCTGGTTCTTGTTCACTGGAAATGGAGAACAGTAAAGCCCTGTGTAGACTATTTAGCTCACTCAAAATGCAGGGACATTTTCTTCTACAAACGACTCTCTCTCTCCTTAGTTTTCCAAAGTGTCCGGGTATCACATTTGGCTTTTCCAAATTCCATAGTCTCTCTTGTTCATTAAAGGGGGTCAAAATTAGGTATTTACTTATTTCAACCTAATTAAAAACCTGCAATTTGGACACTGTTTATAGATTCAATATAAATACTCAACAAGATTTTTAAACAGCTTAAATTTTACATTCCCCTTTGAAAGGAAAAAAGCCCCTAAATAATGACAAAAATACTTTGAAGCAGAATAGAAAAAAAGCAACATGGCCTATATAGATATTAGCATATACTATAAAGTGATATTAAACCAAACTGGATTACAAAAAGCACATCACCAGCCCAATGCCCAACTCTTCATAGGATATAAGGAGATTTTCAAAATGGCAAACAGGACACTCTTGGTGAGCAGCACTATACTATAGTGAACTATAGCACTACAATATAGTGAACTATAGTGGAAAATATTGATGGAGCTCAATATGCTAAACTCATTTACATATGTGTTTATGTTCTTTTGTTTGTTTTTTGGAGACAAGGTTTCTCTGTGTGTCCCTGGCAGGCCTGGAATGAGCTCTGTAGATCAGGCTGGGATGAAACTCAGAGATCTGCCTGCCTCTGCTTCCTGAGTGCTGGGGTTAAAGGTGTGCACCACCACACCCAGCTAGGGTCACTTTTTTAAGCTGGCAAGTTGTTTGGAAACTAAAGTTCCCTCTAATGACTGATGATGCAACCTTGCCAAGTCGGGCCGAGCTCACTAGCTGCTCACACTTTGCTCCCTGAAGCAGACTTGCATTCAGGATAAGAACAGGCTGCTAGGCCATCTGATAAATGTGACAGGCGAACACTGGAGGGGGCACTTAGCTGAAAACTGGGACCAGAAATTAATTAAGCAACCCAGTTTCTCCCTAGTGGAGGTGACAGTGCTCTCTTTCTAGACAATCAAGTGAGGCAAGGAGGATGCTGGAAAATTCTACACCACAGCCCATACCCCCTGACCTGTTTCCTTGACAGTCAGAGATGAATGACAGGAACATTATGTTTGGAACCACAATTATGAACTCAGAGATGAATGAAGAAGGCCAGAAAGAAAACATGGATAGGTAAACAACAGAGGCCAGGCCTTCAGTTTGCTGGAGCTACTAGAGGCTAGCCAGCTTGACTTTCCCTCAGGTATGGGGTCAAGGTGATAGCAACTTTGGTGCTTCCTATGGCCTTTCTCCTCGGCTGAAGATGGCCACTCTCGCTTTGTCCTCTCATGACCTTCTTACTCCTGATCTTATGAAAATACCAATCTGTTTGAATTAGGGCTCCCACATTTATGACTTCACTTTAATCCTCATTACCTCCTTAAAGGCTGTACCTCCAAAGAGAACCACACTCTCAGGCCCCTGAGGGTAAGACTTTAACTTGAAATTTGGGGGACTCACATTTTACCCCACAGCACAGGGTATCTTTCATATTTCATTACCTATCCCATGACATGACACAGAGCTGTTTAAAATTCTAAATGGTGATATAGGGTGTCACATAGAGATGCAAATGCCTTCCTCCATTGTGGGGGACATGAGATCTTCCAGCCAGGGGCTTTCTGTGGCTGTCATTACTTCCTTTGGTTACCTGGCCAAAGAGGAGTCTTGGCCATTTACTGTGGAGAGTTGAGATATTTGCCCCAGACCATTTTAATGCCTCAGGGATGGTCTACTGTCCTCTGATTGTTGCTTTTCCTGGTTTGTCCTGTGCTTTGCTATTAAAAGATGAATGACAACAAAACCATGTCTACTAAAAAGAAAACTAAAATCACACTGCAGGATAAAACATGAAGTCACAGAAGCCATGGCCACTTCTACCATGTAAACCCACATGTAATCTGATAGGTGTGAGAGAAATATCTTGAGTTAATGTTTAAAATTTTACACTATCAAGAAACTAATCTTCATAGCAAAATAGATGAAATAGAAAACTCAATGTAAAATATAAAGTTAAAAGAATGTGGGTTACTAATGCTTACAATACTGTGTGGGATCACTTTAATTCCTAACTTGTTCTTCCACACAACCTTATGCAACAGCTTCGGTTTCAGGTTTGTCTCCTATGTCTCTTCTCCCTGAATGGAGTCATGTACTTCCCATCTCATTGGTGTCTGCAGCTGTTTAAGTGCAGAACTCAACAGCACCTCCCTGCTATGGGACAAACAATCCAGGTTTTAAATATGAATTTCAAAACAAGTAGTGATAAATAGCTCAGTGATAGAATTGAAGGTGATCTTACTCTACAGTTTCTCTTCATAGCTCCGGCCACCCACTGAACATCCTAGAGATCCCTGAAAGCAAGAATCCCTTTGAAATTCCTCTATCTCTAACCCTAACCTTAACCCTAACCCTAACTGTGAGCTTTGAAAGCATAAATGACAAACAGGTAACTTGTGGGCCAGGCTGAATGCTGTACCCTCTCCCCAGATGTCCACACCACAAACCCCAAAAATCTGAGGGTAAAAGAAACTTGAATGTGGTCAACTTAAAATTCCTGAGGTGGGAAGACCCAAGTATTATATCTAGGTGAGCCCATAGCATCTCCTGAGTTCCTGCCAGAGGAAGGGAGGAGAGGCAGGAAGAGGTGAGAAGATAGTAAGTCCGAGAGGTTGACGGGGTGTGAGCAGAGGTCACAGGCTAAGAAACACTCCAAATTCTAGAGGGTGCAAAGGACGCAGATATTCTGTAACCTCTCCCAAAGTCCCAAGAAAGAGGCAGTCACCCCAACATCTTAACTTTAGCACAGTGACTGATGCTGGACTAGTGACTTCCAGAACAGAAAGGCTTACAAAAATCAGTTGTTTTAAGCCACTAAATTTATAGCAATTACAGCAGCTATGGGAACATAAAGACAACTACTTTAAAAACAATTCCACACCCCATAGAAATAGGCAGGTTTTAAAAAGCACAAAACTACATTTGTGATTGTCAAAAACTTCTTTTGAATTTTCTTTCTTGATTTTTGAATGACTATCAGAGAAATATCATGGTGAACCATATAAGACTGCCATTTTTAGAATTAAAAACGTGGTCACATTGTAACAACTTCATATAACTTAAGTTAACTGATGGGATACACTGTAACACAAAAAAATTAAAAAGTCAAATGGCCACTGGAACAGGACATCTAACATTATGTGAAAAAAGTTATGCATAGTTAGTTCTGTGTCCTTCTTATCCATTTTGTCTACACAAGTCTCCTTGAACACCAATATCATCTATAGCCTTCAAGCATTTGCTTGGCTCCAGCGTGCACACACCTGCTGAGTCCTGCTCTTCCCCAAGCCCTGGTAACACCTCAGAAGGGCTACAGCTCTCTCATGTCCTATTTAACAAGCTCAGGATCTTCTCAGAGCTCACTGTGAATCATCCGTGACTAATACCATCTGCTATTTGTTGGACATTGAGTGACATAATTGTATGGAATTTTGTTTTGTGCATGCACATATATGCATATGTTCAGGTGTATGCATGTGAGTTCAGGAACACAAGAAAGCCATAAGAGAACCTTGGGTATCATTTATCAAGAACAGTTCACCTTGTTTATTTTGAGACAGAGTCACTCACTGGCCTTGAACTTGCTAAGTAGACTAATGTGTCTAACAGGTGAGCCCCATGACTCACCTCCCCAGAGCTTAGATTACAAGTTGAACCCAGATCCTCATGCATGTAAGGCAAGCTCTTTAGTGACTGAGCTATCTGCCCAGCCCTTCGTGGTGCGTGTGTTTACTACAGACATAGACAGACAGACAGACAGACAGACACACACACACACACACACACAGAGAGAGAGAGAGAGAGAGAGAGCCACACACAGTGCATTGCTTTTCTTGTCCTGTAAATGAGAAAGCCAAGCTCAAAGGACAACTTGCTCAAGATTACACAAATGCTTTATGTGGGATCTGAAGCTTTGTCTTTCAGCCCATACGCCTAAAATACCCAGATGAAAACTTCCTACACTGGTTTTGCATTTAGAAGGGACAACAAGAAAAGCTATCTGATTGACTGGTTTTGGTTTCACATGAAATATTAGCTAGTTTACAACCTGAATTCT